GAGGTGCTCCAGCCTTCTGAACATTGTCGTGACCCTCCTCTGGACCCACTCTAACAGGTCCATATCCTTCCTGTGCTGGGGCCCTAGACCTGGATGCAGAACTACAAGTGAGGCCTTACAAGGGCAGAGCAGAGGGGCACAATCACCTCCCTCCCCTGCTGGCCACTCCTCTGTTAATGCAGCCCAGGACGCAGTTGGCCTTCTGGGCTACTAGCGCACACCGCTGGCTCATGTTGAGCTTTTCATCCACCAGAACCCCCAAGTCCTTTCTCCACAGAGGTGCACTCAATGAGTTCTTCTCCCAGTCTGTGCTCCTGTCTGGTATTGCCCCAACCCAAGTGCAGCACCTTCCACTTGGCCTTGTTGAACCTCATTATGTTCACATGGGCCCACTTTTCAAGCTTGTCCACGTCCATTTGGATGGCGTCCCTTCCTTCTGTTGCATCAACCACACCACTCAGCTTAGTATCCTCAGAAAACTTGCTGAGGATGCACTTAATCCCACTGTCTGTGTCATTGATAAAAACATTGAACAGTACCAGTCTCAAGACAGACCTCTGTGGGACACTACTCATCAACTGTCTCCACCTGGACGTAGAACCATTGACCACCACTCTGCGTGTGGCCTACAAGCAAATTTCTTTTTCACTGAATGGTCCACCCTTCAAATAAATCACTCATCATTTAACAACACTCCCATTTACAAAAGGGGTAGAAAGGAATTCACAGGGAACTACAGATCAGTGAGTCTTACCTCTGTTTCTGGGAAGATCATGGAATGAATCCTCCTGGAGGCAATGTTAAGGCACATGCAGGACAAAGAGTTGAGCTGGGACAGCAAACATAGCTTCAACAAGAGTAAATCGTGCCTGAACAGTCTGGTGGCTTTCTATGACAGAGTGATGGTATAAAGTCAAAAAGGGAAGATCAAATGTTGACATCTACTTGGACTTTTGTAGGGTCTTCCACATGGCCCCACACAAGAATCTAATCTCTAAATTGGAAAGATATGGATTTGAAGCCTGAACCAACCAGTGGATTATGAATTGGCCCAATGGCTAGACACGGAAAGTGGTGGTCAATGGCTGTATGTCCAGGTGGAAGCTGGTGAGAAGTGGTGCTCCTCAGGGGTCTCTGTTGCAACCAGTACTGTTTAATATCTTTATCAACAACATAGACAGTGGGATTGAGTGCACCCTCAGCAAGTTTGCAGATGACACCAGACTGAATGGTGCAGTTGGTACAGAAGAAGGAAGGGATGCCATTTAGAGGGACCTGGGAAGGGTGGAGAAGTGGACCCATGTGAACAGCATGAAGTTCAACAAGTCTAAGTGCAAGGTGCTGCACCTGGGTTGGGACAACCCCAAACAGGAGTCCAGACTGGGTGAAGAACTCACTGAGAGCAGCCCTGTGGAGAAAGACTTGGGGGTTCTGGTGGACGATAAGCTCAACGTGAGCCAGCAGTGTGCGCTTGCAGCCCAGAATGCCAATGGCATCCTGGGCTGCATCAAAATAACTGTGACCAGTAGGTCGAGAAGGTGATTGTGCCCCTCTGCTCTACCCTTGTGAGGCCCCACACGGAGTGATGAATCAAGCTGGGGGCCCTCAGAACAAGAAGACTGTGAACCTGTTATAGCTGGTCTTGAGGAGGGCTACAAAGATGACCAGAGCACTGGAGTACCTCTCCTAAGAAGAAAGGTTGCAAGAGTTGCGGCTGTTCAGCCAGGAGAGGAGGCTCTGGGGAGTCCTCATTGTGACCTTTCAATATTGAAAGGGGCTTATAAAATGAATAGAAAAGGAATTTTTACTTTGTTATATAACAATAGGACAAGGCAGAAGGGTTTAAACTAAAACAAAATAGATTTAGACTAGATATTAGGAGGAAATTCTTCACTCAAAGGGTGGTGAGGTATTAGAAAAGTATATTGAAGCCCTGCTTTTGTGAACGTGGCCAAGCATTGCTCATTGATGGGAAGTAGAAAGTAACTGCTTTTCCCTCTCTGTGCTTCAACGTGACCTTTTCCCTTCAATTAAATCATCCTTATCTCAAACCTTGATCCCTTTCTGTCGTATGTTCTCCCTCTTCCCCTTTGAGGAGGGGCAGTGAGAGAGCTGCCATGGTGGAACTCGGCTGCCCACCTGAATAAAACCACCACAGCCCTTCAGTGCAAGAAGGACAGGAAACAGCTTGAGAGTCCAGTGCAGAGCCATGAGGATGATGAAGGGAGTAGAGCATCTCCCTTATGAGAAAAGGTTGAGGGAACTGGGTCTCTAGCTTGAAGAAAAGGAGACTGAGGCGTGACCTTATTAATGTTGATAAATATGTAAAGGGTGAGTGTCAGGAGGATGGAGCCAGGCTCTTCTCGGTGACATCCAATGATAGGAGGACAAGGGGCAACGGGTGCAAGCTGGAACATAGGAGGTTCCACTTAAATATGAGACAAAACTTTTTCACAGTGAGGGTGACAGAACACTGGGGCAGGCTGCCCAGGGGAGCTGTGGAATCTCCTTCTCTGCTGGAGACATTCCAAACCCCCCTGGACATGCTCCTGTGTGACCTGATCACTAGGTGATCTTTCAAGGTCCCTTCCCATCCCTAACATTCTGTGGTTCTGTGACTCTAGGTACCAGGACAGGAGCTACACACAGAATGCAGAAATCGCTAATTGCCTCCAACACCTTGCTGTGTTTTCTTTTGTCACTAAAAACATCACTGCAGGATGATAAGATACAACTTATTATTGGCCTATGAAGAGAGTATGTTGGACTTCAAGCTCACACCGTGGGTTTTCATTGATAGTTTCCTTGGCAGTCTCTATCCTTAGGCTCTGACATGCATAGCTAAATAATCAGATCAATGGCAGGAAAGGAGAATCGATAGAACCCCATCTTGTTATTCTTTACATCCACTGCCAAGCTCAGTTCCACCTATGCCGTGGCTTTCCTCATTCCATTTATACACATCCAGATGGCATCCATGTACTCTGTCCAGCCCTCATGTCCCTACTTCCACTGCCTGTGCATCTCCTTCTTATGCCTTGGTTTGAACAGCCGTTTGAACAGCCACGTCAGTTTCTTGCCTTGCCTGCTTGCTTTTTCACACATGGCGACGGAGGCTTCTTGCGCTTGTCTCATCCACAATGCTTTTAAGCAGCTGGAAGTTCGCTCTTGTAGCGTTCAGGGTGCTGACTTTGCTCTTTGCAATCTCTCCAGCCTCCTTCAACCCTGCCATGAAAGCGTAGGAATGAGTGGTAGTCATCTGACTTGACCAGCCCTCGTGAATGCAGGCTCCCAGCAGGCAGAATCCTCTCCTGAGAGATTGCCTGGACAGCAAATGGGTTCTTCGGTGACTCTCAGTGGGGAACTGTACTGGGTCTGGCTGGAATGTTAACTTTCCCGGCAGCAGCCCATACAGTGCCGTACTCTGTACTTGTAGCTGGAACAGCAGTGTTATCACACCAGTGTTGTGTCTACTGCTGAGCAGCAGTGGCACAGCATTGGGCCTTTCTCTAACCTTCCTAGAGGGTGGGTAAAAAGTGAGGAGAGAAACATCACTAGGGCAGCTGACCTAAACCAATCAAAGGGATATTCCATACCATGTGGTGTCACACTCAGCAATAAAAGGTGGAAACAGGAAGAAGAGGGGAGGGGTGGGCTCTCGTTGAAAAAACGTCGGTCCTCCTCTCAACACCGGCTGCGTGCGTTGAGGCCTTGCTTCAAGGACGTGGTCAATCATCGCTCATTTGTGGGAAGTAGAGAGTAATTTCTTTCCTCTGCACTTCCATATAGCCTTCATTTATTTTGTTTATTTGTTTTCCTCCCTTTGTTTTATTTTTCCTTTTCCCCTCCCTTTTCCCCTTTCCCTTTTTATTTCCCCTTAGTTAAATTGTTTAGTTCATGGTAGTCGTTATTTAATTGTTATTATTATTTCCCTTTAATTAAATTATCCTTATCTCAACCCGTACGTTGTTCTTTGTTTTACTTCTCCCCCTGCTTATCTAAAGGAGGGGGAGTGAGAGAGCAGTTGTGGGGTTTAGCTGCCCAGCATGGTAAAACCACTACAGGAACCTCCCTAGGCCATCGGCTTCTTCCAGGGCAGATGCATTCTGCAGCAGAGCGGGGGATCGAGGCAGGCAGGGCTTTCTTCCTTCACCGATGCAACTCTTGTAAAGCCAAGGGAGCTGCCAGGGCCTGGCGGTTCCCATGAGGGCAGCTGATGAGGTATGGGCGGAGCCAGACATGCCCAAAGGCAGCCCGTATGGAGCGCGAGCGACCAGGAGGAAGAGCAAACTGGCATGGAGCAATTGGAGCAGGCAGAGTGAGCAGGGAGGGCGCTCTCACCGCTCCTTTCCAAAAGTGGTTGTAACCTGCTCATGAAGAGCCCAGCCATGGTTTCCACCCGGCAGAAAGCAATGGCCTCTGCTTCCCTTGCAGCCTTTCCAGACATGGTTACTGATGTGGCTACCCAGACGGAGGTCTCCGGGGAACACACAGGCCTGCAAGTCTTGGCCTGCAGGGTGTGCCTGAGTCAGTGCAGTCATTGGTCCAGACCAACATGAGTTCATGAAGGGAAAGTCATGCCTTATGAGCTTAATACCCATTTCTGACCAGGTTATGCACCTAGATGGATGAAGTTTAAGCAGTCGAGGTGTTGTTTGTTTGTTTGTTTGTTTGTTTGTTTTTTGTGTTTTTTTGTTTGTTTGTTTGTTTGGTTGGTTGTTTTTTTTTTTTAATTTTGGCATAGCTTTTAATACTGTCTCTCAGAATATTCTTCAGGACAAAATGCCCAGCTCTGTAGCTGGAGAAGAACACAATGCCAAGGGTGACCAACTGGCTGAAGGGTCAGGCTCAAAGAGTGGCAGTAAAGAGGGCAACATCAGGTTGGTGGACAGTCCCCAGCGGTGTTCCCACTAGGCGCTGCCCATCGTGGGCTCAGCCTGCAAAAGGGAAGAACTGGCCGCTTGGAGAGGGCCAGTGTGAAAACATCACCTTGCACCAGACTGACAAACCACATCCCTCGTCTAGGTTTTTGTTACTATTTTTTATTCTTATTGGCAGAAGACATGTCTCCTGGCCAACGACTGGTAGCCGTTCCTCTCCCATGCACCTGCACCCGGTAAATGCAGGTGTAATCTGGATTTCCCCAGTTGCTCTGTATGACGACCTTGATGACCTGAAAGGCTCTGGGAATCTCCTGCAAAGAAAAAGCACAAAAAGATGTGCCACCCCTGAGGTGGAAGGAGCCAGAGCTGCTTCCACTCCCCTTTCTCGGTCAGCCAGGCCCCTGCTCCAGGACCAGCTCCTGCTCTGGCCAAGGAGGCAGCTTCTGTAAGGACTATAAGGAGGTAACGAGGCTGTGCAGGGACAAAATTAGAAAGGCCAAAGCTCATCTGGAGCTCAGTCTGGCTACTGCCGTTAAGACAACAAAAAATCTTTTTACAAATACATCAACGCAAAACGGAGGACTAACGAGAATCTCCATCCTTTACTGGGTGCAGGGGGGAACCTTGTTACAAAAGATGAGGAAAAGGCAGAGGTGCCTAATGCCTTCCTTGCCTCAGTCTCTAGCGGCAATACCGGTTGTTCTCTGGATACCCAGTACCAGACGATTAGATGTAGAGCTTAGGGGTATGGTTTGGTGGGGACTGTTAGTGTGAGGTCAGAGGTTGGACTCGATGATCTTGAGGTCTCTTCCAACCTATAAATTCTGTGATTCTGTGATTCTTGCTGCTTCTCCTCTCCCACCCAGGCCGCCAAGGCTCCCTGTGCCTGGGCAGGGCCAACAGCCAGCCTCTGAGAGTAAGGTGGGCAGCGGTGGAAGCCTGAGGCTCTCTGATCCTGGGGGAGATGGGCAAGGACCCTGGAGAAAGTCCCGAGGCCAGAGCAAGGTGCTGGCTGCCCTCTTTGCTACCAGTACCTGCCCAGCATGTGCAGCCTGGGATCTCCAGGCACACACAGCAACAGGGACAGCCCGACCTCCGCTCAGTGTCTGCTGTCCTGCTGCCTAGTGCCCACCCTCCCTGCCCACCCTGTCTCTCTCCCATGGGCTGGGACTGCTGCCCTGGGAGGGACCCTGCACACTGCTGCCACTGACTTGCTGCCAACACAGTGTTTCTGGACAGGCCTCCTGCCCACCACCTCTGACTGTACCTGCAGAGGGAAGGTCTGCACAGGCTTCTTCTGCACGGCATAGGTGAATGTCCCGAGCAGAGTTTCGGCTTCTGTTTCCTCATCCACTCCCTGTGGAGGTAAAGAACGGGGCAGCAGGTCAGGCTCATCCCTGTGACAGCTTCCCCCGGATGCATCCCAGTCCCTAGTGCCCAGCAGAGACTTACAGAGACGGTGAAATCTCGGGGAGCACTGCTGAATTTCCCAAGCGCCGAGTCCATGTCTGAGGTGTGGTGGACGGTGACCATGGTTGCCTGGATTTTTGCAGGCAACCTAATGACCACCTGGCCCCGAGACCCTTGGAAAGCCCAGCAGTTGCCCAGAGAAACGTCCGGCTGAAAGCAGAGGGCAACAACAGTGAATGGCTGGGCTGTGGTGGGGCCCGTGCCACCACGCAAGCAGTACCTGTGCCTGTGGGGGTCTCTCTCCTCTCTCTCCTGAGGGGAAGTGCCCCACAGCTTGCCCCCAGCTTTACCAGGGGAACAAACTGTCACTGATGGTTTCTACTAGCGTACCTGCAGAATAGTGTCTGGAGGGTTTGGGGTACAAGGAAGCCAGAAGAGCCTGCACGACCGCATGCCATCCCATGAGTATGTCTTTGAAGATCTCTCCAGGTCAATGGTGGCCCCTGAAGGGAGAAGAGAGCAGCTGACGGCTGGCGGGAGGCTATTTCTAAGGCTGCCTGACAGCACTGCTACCTGGGAGGGGCCCCAGGAAAGGAAGGGATGCCCGTGTCCCGTGATGGCGGCGTCTCTCTCTCAGAGCTGCCTAAAGCCGAGGGCTGTGGGAGCAGGCAGCACGCCCTCACAGGCAGGGCAGCAGACTGCAGCCCAGGTGCCACCAATTGGCAATGGCAAAGGACGACCTGGCCACAGATTTTCGGTCCCCACAACAGCTTCATGCAGAGGAGAGGGTGACGGGCCAGCTGGGGAATGGCAGAAGCAGCAGTAGGGAGTCCGCGGGCATTATAGGGTTGAGCCAAGGGAGCTGCTTGCCCATAGGCAGGCTATTGGGTCCCGTGATTTTGTCTCATCCCCTCCATATCAGAGGTCCGAACCTGCAGTGCCTGTAGCTTTCTTTTGGGAGGGCCAAGCAGGAGCCTAGTGACAGGAGACCTGCCTGCCTGTGTCCATACCTGTGCTTTTCAGAGCCCAGTCAAGCAGCACTTCAGACTTTTTGCGAGAGTTAACAGACACAGCGTCTCGCAAGTCCTTAAGTTCCTGGGAGAGACAGAAGGGAACAAAGGAAACAACCACATCAGCACCACGCCAAGGAAGACGTCCATGTGCACTTAGTCACATGCCTCTGTAACTGTGCACGTAGCCACATGGTCTACACTTTTGGGCAGACCTGTGTGGTGCCAGGAGTTGGACTTGATGACCCTTATGGGTCCCTTCCAACTTGGGATATTCTATGATCCTATAATTCTATGTCAGAAAACCAAAACAAGACTTGTTCCGTGTCTGACAAGAGAGAACTTGGCAAGAACGCTGGTGTGCAAGGCCATCGTGTGGGTGTGCGTCCAGGCCCCACAGTGCGTTGTCTGGCAGTCCTCCCTGACCTGGCTGACATTGCCTGGACCAGCCTGGCCAGGAGAAGGGACTTTTGGGCAAACAAGCTGGCCCTGGCAAGAGATGGGTAGCCGCAGGAAGCTGGAAAACCCCATCAGCAAACCCAGGAAGGGCTTTGTGGGGGGCCCTGCTCATCCAAACCCTCTTCCCCGAACTGTAGGATTACCTTTTTCAGGGTGCCGATCTCCTCACTCAGCTGAGCCGCCACACCACTGTGCTCCTGGAGCATCTTCTCATTCTGATCCCACAGCCCATCAAGCCTGTTCCTGCAGGTATCGGCAAAGCAGACCTTGTCAGGGAGCCTCCTAGAGCCTCCAAGCTTAGGGCTGAGCAGACAGACACAGGTGCTCAAGCCCTCTCTTCTGTTGCCAGCTTTCCAGTGCTTCCTTCCAATTCACCGCCACCATTAGCAAAAGAGAGGGAGGGAGGGGCCCGGGCCCTGGGTGCAAGGGAGTGCTGCCACAAGGCTGGCTGTCACAGCCCTACCACATGAGGTGCAGGTGAGGAGAGGCCTCTTACCTTGTGGCCACTACTTCAGGCAAATACTGCTCCAGCAGCACCTGAAAGAGAAAGGCTCTCCGTTGGAGCACCAGAGCCGCTGTGGCTTTCCAGAGCCAGCAGCTCTAGCACGGCATGGCAGAAGCTGCTGCTTCTCTGGCTCACTGCTTGCAAATGGAGGGTGCAGCGGTTTGCCCAGCTGCCACCAGCCGAGCACTGCTCTGCTCTGGGATTTTCCTCTCATCAACAGCAGTCACTGACCTTTTGCTCCTGCCGCTCCTGCCCCATCCTTGCCACACAAGCCCCAGAGAAGCCAACAACTGCAAACACATCACCCAGAGAGTTATTTCACTGGGGTTTCTAATGATCCCCGCAGCCTCCCACAGCAGTGGGGCGAGAAGCTGCCTGAGGACATGATGAACCGGTGCAGAGACAGGATGTGGCTCCAAGCAGGAACCCTCTCCCCGGGTTCTGCGCGGCGCTGGTCTGCGTGCTCAGCGCTCCACAGCTGCTCCCCATTTTCCCTCTCCTGTTTGCAGGGAGAAAGCCTCCCGCATCCCTCCCCCTCCACACACCCATATGAGAAACCCCGATTTAGACATGTTCTGATTCCCAGGCAATGGCCACGTCTGGCCCTGCCTCCTGCTGTCTCTGCTTCCCCCAGCACACCTCGGAGCAAGGCTCTGCTGAAGCAGCCATAGCACAGCAGTGCAGGAGCTGGGCGGTTTCCTGGCATGAGCCCCCAGCCTGGCACTAGTTTCCAGGAGACGCAAGGACTTTCTCCAGCCTCCCCCTTTCACAGCTGAAAAACTTTCCTCTCCCCCCATCTGTCTGTCTGTCTGTGTGCCTCTCTCTCACACACACTCTGATCATGCCAGCGAGGTGGGAAGGCCCTACAGGTTCCCCTCCACAGGCTTGTGTATGTCTGTACCAGCTGTGAGGCCAGGTGGGATCTGCGTGTAGCTGGTATCTGGGGAGCTCCCTGAACCATGGAGGTGCGAGGCTGGAAGGGCCCCGTGGACCTCCAGCACCTCTGCCTCACGCTGGGACACGCATCCTGTGGCTCTGTGCTACCGCTGGCAGTGCGGGAATACTCACTGAAAGCAGCCACGATTGTAAAGATAATTGTGAAGAGCCGCTGTTTCTGCAGGGTGTTGCTTTGCCTGAAAAACAGGGAGTCGTGGTGTTGCCAGTGCTCAACGTTTGGGGCAGATGCCTTCGTGGGGAATTTTCTCTTACGAGCTGAGAAGCCACAATCTTGGGGGTCAGCTGGTGACAGAGAGCTGCCGAAGCAGCCCCCCAGAGCAGCAGGGTTTCTGTCAGCCCCCGTCAGCACCACTGGCAGAACTGGCCAAGGGAAAGTGCTCCACAAGCACCCTCAGCAAAGGAGATGAGCCAACTCCGAGAACATACCTGAGCCTCTTTGCCACTTACGGTGGAGTTCGCAAGGCCCGGAGCCCTTGCTCTGCCCACAGCACTTGTGGACTTGTGCTCTGTGTCCCCCCAGCCCCACATGAGGCTCTGTCTGTGCTACCCCCCAGCTGATGTCCCCATGAAACTGCAACCCCCTCGTACCCATTCCTGGGGAGCTGGCTAAGCCCTGCTTCCTCCCCTGAGTGTTCCTCAGGGGTTCTTTGCTGTGAGGCTCTCAAACGCCCCTGCGATCTCATCTCCATGGTGAAGCCTTCTGCTCGTCAAGTTCTTCCTGTTCAGGTCCAGGAGCGCTCTCTGCCCAGGGCAAGGGCAGTCAGCAAGAAGGCCAACACCAACTGGCCGGAGGAGCACGCCTGTCACAGGCACACGTCCACTAGGACACTGCGAGCGTCCTTCCAGCTGGGCAGTCACGCCCACAGTGCCAGGCGTTGGCCAGTGGAGCTCTGAATGGCAGCCAGCCGTGACCTCACAGAGGCCTTGTCTTGCATGGCGTGAGGCTGCTGTCACAGCCAGGACTACCAGGGACAGGAGGTGGGGAGAAGCACCGTGGCTTTCCTTACACAGCCCATCCATGGCTGTACCAAAGCCCGAGCCAGGGAGCGCTGGGGACAGCCAAGAGGCACTGTGGTGCTGCTGGCAGTTGCCGCATCCGGGGCCTCGAGGCCCTGGGCATCGGCAAGAATTGCTGCTCCACCTACATCCACACAAGTCCACAAGTCCGGATGGGATTCATCCCAGGTGCCCAGAGAGCTGGCTGACGTCATCGCAGAAGCTGGCAAATGTTGTGCCAATTTTCAAGAAGGGCAAGAAAGAAGAGTCTTGGTAACCACAGTCCTGTCAGTCTCATGTCAGTGCCTGGAAAAACTGTGGAGAAGATTATCCTGGGAGCTACTGAAGCGCACCTGGAGTACGATCACAGAATCACAGAATCGTCTAGGTTGGAAGAGACCTCAATGGTCCAGACAACATGGTTCCTGAGTCGTAGGTCCCGTTTAACAAATTGGATTTCCTTTTATGAGAAGATCACGCATCCACTTGATCAAGGGAAGCCATCTGATGTGATCTTTTTGGATTTCAGTGAAGGGTTTGAAGGTTTTGACACAGTTTCCCGTAGCCTCCTCCTGGACAACATGTCCAGCACATAGCCAGTTACAGCTGGACAAAAACATCCTAACATGGGTGCCATGATGGGCAGGGCTCGAAGTGCTACAGTAAACAGGGCTACCCCAGGCTGGTGGCCAGTCACCAGTGGGGTTCCCCAGTGTTCCATTTCATAAACTATTTGGATGTAGGACTAGAAGGTGTTTGGAGTAAATCTGCTGATGATACTAAACTGGGAGGAGTTGTTGACCCTGCCGAGTGTGGCAAGGCCTTTCGGAGAGATCTGGGCAGACTGAAGAGCTGGGCAATCACCAAGCACGTGAAGTTTAACAAGAGCAAGTGCCGGGTCCTGCACCTGGGACAGGGCAACCCTGGCTATCAGTACAGACTGGGTGACGAGACACTGGAGAGCAGCCCTGCAGAGAGGGACCTGGGTGTTTTGGTCGACAGCAAGCTGAAGATGAGCTGGCAGTGTGCCCTGGGAGGCAGGAGGGCCAACCGTATCTTGAGGTGCATCAAGCACGGCACTGCTAGTTGTTTGCGGGAAGTGATTGCCCTGCTCTACTCTGCGCTGGTGCGGCATCACCTCGAGTACTGTGTGCAGTTCTGGGCACCACAGTACAAACAGGATGTGAAATTATCGGAGAGTGTCCAGAGGAGGCCTATGAAGATGGTGAAGGGCCTAGAGGCGAAGACATATGAGGAGTGGCTGAGGTCACTTGGCCTTTTCAGCCTGGAAAACAGGAGGCTGAGGGAAGACCTCGTCGCGGTCTACAGCTTCCTCACGAGGGCGAGTGGAGGAGCAGGCACTGATCTCTTCTCTTTAGTGACCAGCAACACGACCAGAGGGAATGGAGTCAAGCTGTGACAGGGGAGGTTCAGGTATCAGGAAAAGATTGTTCAGCAAGAGGGTTGTCATGCACTGGAACAGGCTCCCCAGGGCCGTAGTCATGGCACCATGCCTGTAGAGTTCAAGAAGTGTTTGGACTATGCTCTTAGTCATGTGGTTTGAAGTTTTGGGTAGACCAGTGCGGTGCCAGGAGTTGGACTTGATGATCATTGTGGGTCCCTTCCAACTCAAGATATTCTATGATTCTGTGATTAAGTCTGCTCTGCTAAAGCCCTGTGTGGTTTTCCTGTTTTTTGCCTTGACACCTGCTTTCCGGGAACTCAAATCCACCATCTTAAGGTCACCGTATCTAAGGCATCCTCTGCCACCTCACTCGGCCTTCAGGCACTGGAAGGCCTGCCACATTCTGGAGTTCCCAGTAGCTGAGGGTCTGGGCAGCTCCTTCGGTCCTGGGGAGGTCCGTCTGGGTGGAGGTGTCTGTCTGGGGAGGGAGCTCTGGCCCCTCTGTCTGTGTTTCAGCTTGGCCTGGCACTTGCAGTGGCTGGATGCCATCTGGCTTCCAGCAGAAGGCTGGAAGGCTGGGCTATTAGGGGCAGTTATTAGGGGCTTCACCGAGGGGATGTGTCTGTGCTATTCCCCAGCTGATGTCCCCACAACACAGCAACCCCCTCATAGCCATTTCCAGTGAACTGGCTGGGACCTGCTTCCTCCACTGACTCGTCCTATGCAGCTCCTTTCTGTTGTGGGGCTCTCAGAATGCCTTGTGACCTAGAGGCGGCTGTCACATGAGACTAGGCTGATGGTCTGCCGCCTCTCCATGGACCAGAAGGCATTGACTTGAGGGATAGAGGTCAATGGAAACAAGCCTCTTCTTGGGGCAGCAGGAGAAGCTCCTCCCTGTGTCTCTAGCCTGTACCATAACCAACCTTCATGAGGAAAGAGCAGCAGGTTGTTGTCACAGGTGACTCCTTTCTGTGGAGAACCCATGGAAAGGGCCTGATCTGCCGACCTGCCCCAACCTTCAGGCAAGCGCCACGTACTTACAATGGTGGAAGCAACCACCGGATGGCTGGAAACATATCCTGTGCCTCATGCCACCGCCCGGAACACCATCCTGGGCCTTGAAAAGCAAGTCCTATGGCGACATGGCACCCCAGAAAGAATAGAATCAGACAACGGGACTCACTTCCGAAACAACCTTATAGACACTTGGGCCAAAGAACATGGTATTGAATAGGTGTATCACATCCCCTATCATGCACCAGCCTCAGGGAAAGTTGAACGATACAATGGCCTGTTAAAGACTACCTTGAAAGCAATGGGCGCTGGGACGTTCAAAAACTGGGATACGCATTTGGCAAAGGCCACCTGGTTAGTCAATACTAGGGGATCTACCAACCGAGCTGGACCTGCCCAATCAAACCTGTTATGTACTGTAGATGGGGATAAAGTTCCTGTAGTGCATGTAAAAAATATGCTGGGTAAAACAGTCTGGGCTACTCCTGCCTCAGGAAAAGGCAAACCTATTCGTGGAATTGTTTTCGCTCAGGGACCTGGATACACTTGGTGGGTGATGCAAAAGAACGGAGAGGTGCGGTGTGTACCTCAAGGAGATTTAATACTGGGTGAGAATAGCCCATGAACTGAATTGTACCATGTTAATTAGTATATTACACTGTATATTATCACTACCATGATTACTATAGGTGACTAATTAGAATGTATGGAAAAGAGTGTAACCTGAGCATGACATAAATGGTATGGAATAAGGGGTGGATAGATGTCCTGGTTTCAGTTAGCACAGAATTAATTTTCTTCCTAGTAGCTGGTGGAATGCTGTGTTTTGGCTTAGGATGAGAAGAGTGCTGATAACACCCCGATGCTTTAATTGTTGCAGAGCAGTGCTTATACTAAGCCAAGGACATCTCAGTCTTTTGCTCTGTCCTGCCAACGGACAGGCTGGGGGTGCAGTAAGAGCTGGGAGGGGACAGACCCAGGACAGGTGACCCAAAC